TAAATTGCGTAGCATATATATATTTATAATATTTAATATTATAATTTATAATATTTATAATATTATAATATATATATATATTATAATATTATAAATTTGACGAATTTATAATAAATTAATACGAATTCTCGTAGCACATTTACCGCAGCAGAGTTGCGTCGGATTGCGCAGTGCTAACAAAAAACGCCGAGACAACGTATGGGAATGATAACGAATCCGTGCATTCGCAGGACGATGTGCTTTAACTGCGATTTTACTGGCGCGTTCTTCGAAGACCACCTGGTACATTGGCCCCGGGACGAGCGCGTCGGTGTAGAAACAATGACCGTACATAAAGTTCGCTAAAAATGTGGACTAGCGAGTGCAGTTTAACGGGACAAACGTTATTGCGCGCGTCCACGGCAGCGATTCACTGCAATCTCGCAGTTTCACAGCTCTGTGGATCGCATTTTCCAGCCTATGTTTGCTGCATCCTGCGGCAGTCGGGTTTAATATCGTCCAGAGATATTCAATTGGGAACGGTGCGACAACAGAATCAAAAAGATTCGGGTCACGTTTTGCGAGCGTAAACCTTTGCTATGTATTGGTCATCCAGCCCGAAACGATAGATCATGGACACTCGCTGACGAAAATCATTATTTCTATATTATTAGCACAAGCTATATTTGCACATGCTATCAGCTGTAGCAATCAAACTACACCAAACACATTGACAAACTTTCATAGTCTCGCGTCACCCAAAAACTGTTAACTTTTGGAGCTTCGCCTATCAGAAATCTATCAATAGACTTCCGAATGATTGCGTCAATTGAAAAACGAAACTTCGAAATAGCTTTCTGAAGCATCCACACATTTTATATTTTCAATAGAGAAATTATATTTTATTTGTAATCTGAACTTTTATACGAATATGTCGTATTATAGCACAATCCTGTAGAAACTAACGATGTTTTACGATTTTTAACGATTAGAAGCAACAATTTCAAAAAAGATTATTCACCACTGCAGAATGAAATTGTTGTTGCTAGACTGCTGATCTACATATATGTGATACAGTAATTTCTCCACGAGTGACGCGGAGTCGGAATTGAAAGCGTATTTCGAAGGACCACGAGATACGATTCTTCGAGCCTCGGGGGTCGCTTTAATATTTTATAATTGCCGACATCTCTTGAGAGAGAGCGAGAGAGAGAGAGAGAGAGAAAGAGAGAGCGAGAGTGAGACAGAGAGTGAGAGTGAGAGAAAGAGAGCGAGAGCGAGAGTGAGCGAGAGCGGGAGAAAGAGCAAGAGAGAGAGAGAGCGAGAGAGAGAGCAAGAGTGAGAGAGAGAGAGAAAGAGAGAGCGAGAGAGAGAAAGAGAGAGCGAGAGAGCGAGAGTGAGAGAGAGAGTGAGAGTGAGAGAAAGAGAGCGAGAGCGAGAGTGAGCGAGAGCGGGAGAAAGAGCAAGAGAGAGAGAGAGCGAGAGAGAGAGCAAGAGTGAGAGAGAGAGAGAAAGAGAGAGCGAGAGAGAGAAAGAGAGAGCGAGAGAGCGAGAGTGAGAGAGAGAGTGAGAGTGAGAGAAAGAGAGCGAGAGCGAGAGTGAGCGAGAGCGGGAGAAAGAGCAAGAGAGAGAGAGAGCGAGAGAGAGAGCAAGAGTGAGAGAGAGAGAGAAAGAGAGAGCGAGAGAGAGAAAGAGAGAGCGAGAGAGCGAGAGTGAGAGAGAGAGTGAGAGTGAGAGAAAGAGAGCGAGAGCGAGAGTGAGCGAGAGCGGGAGAAAGAGCAAGAGAGAGAGAGAGCGAGAGAGAGAGCAAGAGTGAGAGAGAGAGAGAAAGAGAGAGCGAGAGAGAGAAAGAGAGAGCGAGAGAGCGAGAGTGAGAGAGAGAGAGAGAGTGAGAGAAAGAGAGCGAGAGCGAGAGTGAGCGAGAGCGGGAGAAAGAGCAAGAGAGAGAGAGAGAGAGCGAGAGAGAGAGCAAGAGTGAGAGAGAGAGAGAAAGAGAGAGCGAGAGAGAGAAAGAGAGAGCGAGAGAGCGAGAGTGAGAGAGAGAGAGTGAGAGTGAGAGAAAGAGAGCGAGAGCGAGAGTGAGCGAGAGCGGGAGAGAGAGAGAGAGAAAGCGAGAGCGGGAGAGAGAGAGAGAGAAAGCGAGAGAAAGATAGTGAGAGCGAGCGCGAGGACGAGAGAGCGAGAGAGAGAGAGAGAGAGACCCAGAAAAAAGGCAGCGGCCAGCATGCCAGCGTACATTAATATTTCTAATTTGTTGCCACGATTAGAAGGCAATTCGCAGGCCAGATGTCACGTTTCGACGGTCACGTATCTAGTACCTACCACGTACCTTGTAGCTCCGCACGGTTTTTCTTACCTGACTCATACCCAAACAGACCATTTTTGTGTTGTCTTCCCGGAATTCGAGTCAAATGAGACGCGGCGCGTGCCGCATCATGCGCTTGACTGACTCCGACAAATCTTCGCATCGGCGAAACCAGAAAATCGATAAATCACATACGCGTAGCAATAATCACCGCGACACTCATGGAGAAATTACTGTATAATGTAGCGTTATCTTTCAATTCATCTGATGAAATGATCTCTCTATTGCATTTCTTCCATTCAGTTTTCCCATAATTGCACAAAATCCGCAGTTTGCTAGAGACACGTAACATTTCTAATAGCTCTCCTTTTCGAATAATCCTGTGATCGTAAGAAAAAACCCGGTATGTCACAATTAAAAAATATTTAACAATACGTTTATGCATTGATTCAGCTGTACAATATACGATCTACCGATTTCTCAGGAAAATCATTAAAAAAAAAACAAATTCGATAGGCAGTGATGTAACTTGAAACTCTGCTAATAAAGAAAATTAGTGATCAGATCTGTCGACGACAACATCTTGAAAGTGATAACATGTGCTCACATGTTTCAATCGCAGCGTTGTCAACGCAGGATACGGTAACAACGAAAGAGCGCAGCGCGATACTCGTTTCATCCAACAGTTCAATACGCAGGCAGAAGAAACACGGTACAGTAATTTCTCCCAGAAATGTTCGGAAGTCGGAATTGAAACCGACAGATCTGAGAATACGCGATTCTTCGAGTCTTGCGGCTCGTTTTTTTTAGAAACTCGGAGCAGCCGGCAAAAAAGAGGCAGCGGCCAGCATGCCGGTGTACATTAATATGAACACATAATAATGCCAGAATAAAAACGATAAATTAACTTTTTTATTTCTAATTTGTTGCCACGATTCGTAGCTCCGTGGGTCTTTTTTACCTGATCCACACCCAAACAGATCATCCTGTGTTGTCTTCTGTCGAACCAATGAAACACATAGACGTAGGACTGGCACAGGGAAATTCATAGCAGCCCGAAATTTGGCTTTTCCGGGAGAAATTACTGTAATTGCAAACGTATCATGCAGCCCACGCGAAATTTCCCAGCGGAATTGTTAGCAAAGGTCGAGGACTCTCCGTGCTTCCGAAGTCTCCGTGGGCGGGAAAAATGAATTTTGAAACCCTTTCGGAGAAGCATGATTTTTGTAACTCCGGGCAACCGGAAGTGGATGGAGCATCGGCTAGGAAAAGCCGGACAGCAGGGCGTGGGCGAGTGAACGAGCCGGTAAACGCGAGCCAAACAAATGGAGAAGCTTTAAAGAAATCACGAAATCGATCCAACGTGACGGCGCACTTGGCTTTTTTTGCGAATTCTCACCTGGTACAGAGCGCTGCCGCCACCCACGCCAGCAGGCAGAGGAACGTCGCCCTGGCCTTCGTGCACACGTATCTACGGAAAGAAACGGAGGAAAAAATAGAAATCGACAGAACGGTATGGCGTTTCGCGGGTCGTGACTGTCATCTGGGATTGCCGACGTGACACATGGATCTAATACCAATCGAATCGGGAAAGCGATAGAGACGCGCACACTGCGATGTTTCAGCGATTCGACGAAAATAGTGAGTTGAAAGTTTGTAGCGCGTACACCGTGGATTTTTATGCAAAATGAAAATTGCAAGACAATGGAACTGAATAGTTCTTAAAATTTTAGTTACTTTTAAGAAGTTCCAAGTAATGGTTATGTTTCTATCCTTATTATTATTTTATGCTGCATCGAATATTTTTGTCACGAATACGAAAAATTAATACAGTACAGTATTGTATATTAATACATGGAACACCTGATTTTGAATGCTTGCCAAATGTATAGAGAAGTCATAAGTTGCGATTCAAACAATTGAAATGTTTATAAATTATAGTAGGAAAACTGAAAGTGTTATATCTAGCGTGGAGCATCTAAGAAAATTGTAAAGAAGAAAGTTCTTATCTGAACTTTCCATCTACGATCAACAATGAATCTCTATTAAGCGAATGGTAGTAATACAAATTGTATGCTTGATCATTTCGAGCTTATGTAAATCAAGAACGACTTCTGACGTCTTGATTCAATTCAATCTCAGGAGATATCGAAAGTGTTCGTTTTGTTTTAGTGGTTCAAAGTTACTAGGGTAAGCGTAGGTATTACTGCGGTTTCCCTCAATGAAGGCGAACGTTGACAAAGAAAATAAGACCTTTTAAGCCAATCAATTGACAACTTGAGCTATACCTATTGTTCTTTAATTTCAATATTTACTTCTCTCAAAATATTAGATCTTCGAAAGCACGAATTTAGCTATACCTATTGTTCTTTAATTTCAATATTTACTTCTCCCAAAATATTAGATTTTTTTTTCATTAAAAAGCGTAACGTAAAATAAATGAATTAAAACTGAAATATAAACAATTATGAGATTCATTTCTAGAAGATTGCACACTATAAAATGTTAGATTTTATGACTTTTATAAAATATCGCAGTATTTTGGACGCCCACAGTAATACCCACACTTACCCTATCCGGTATTGAAAGGCATTTGAGTTTTTTCTTGGACTCATAGGTTCACGCGAATCATCGTCAATTATACTATATTAGAGAATCAATAGACACTTAACGATCCGAGAGGGATGAATTCAGCTTCGCGAAATTCAAGAGGATTAACAGATAGTTATCGCGATGAATCCCCGTTCGTGTGTAATTTGGTTTCGCGAATAATAGAATTTCAGACTTGTAAAAGCTTTGCAGATATCAGCGCGGCGGTTAATGCGTTAAAACAGCCGGCTGTTAATTGCTGTTATATCCTTCAAAGGATTTCGGACGGCGATAGTTGGTTTGTTCGCGTGTCAGATCCTTTGAAGAATATTTCAGTGAAGACCAACCGCGTTAACGAACAGAGCGATGTTAGCACAAATCTGCCTGGCTCGCTCTAATTATCGTTGCTCATTGTTCCTTTCCCCGAATATATTTATCCGGCGAAATGTGTTTGTGAGTACTTGTTCTTCTGTTTGCAATGCTTACCCTGCTCTCAAGGGCTCGCAGATCGCGTAGTAACGCTCGAAACTGATCGCCAGGATCGTCAAGACTGAAGCATGAGCTACTGTCAACTCTACGAATGGTACGGCTTTACCTGAAAACGAGAAAGATGGGAAACTGTTAGTCGAAAATCACCCGAGTTACATGATATTTTGAAAATGATGAGACAAGTCGGAGTTCTTTTACAGGGTGTCCCAAAAATGTCTCGCAATCCGAAAGTGGCGGGTTCCTCAGGTCATTTGAAGCAACTTTTTCCTTCAAAAAAGTTTTCTCTGAGACACCGTTAACGAGTTATTAACGAAAAACAGTGATCAGTCGAGGCGGTCGAAGCTCAGCTCAGCTAGCGCGAGCCGGCCGAGCCAACGGCGCCAGCGGTCGGGCGGTCGAATCCCAGCTCAGCTAGCGCGAGGCAGCCAAGCCAACGGCGCCAGCGGTCGAGGCGGTCGAATCCCAGCTCAGCTGGCGCGAGGCGGCCGAGCCAACGGCGCTAGCGGTCAGGCGGTCGAATCCTAGCTCAGCTGGCGCGAGGCGACCGAGCCAATGAACGGAACTGGGCTTCGTGCGCTGGTTGACTGGGCCGCCTCGCGTCAGCCGTACTCGATTCTTATTAGTCACTGTATTTTGTTAATAACAAAACTAATGGAACTAATGGAAGAAGTTGCTTCAAATGATCCGAAACACCCTGTATATTAATTCGCTGCTTTGCTTGAAATAAGGCAATTGTTAGCGCACCCGTTCACTGTCGAACACTGCCGAACATTGATCCAAAAACCTTACCAAGTTGGACTGCATAGTCTTCTTAATAAAACTGGTAAGCTAAGGTTTATTCGACTTTTTACTAGATTGTGAATTTTTATGGAAATTTCAATTTTCATACGTCATTTTATAAAATTTAGAATCAAGGAAAGGTTTCTTTGTCAATTAAGAGATTACTTAAAGTAAAAATAAAATAAAAATGCTGTTAGATCTTGTTAATTTATACGCTTCCTTGCAGTTTAAAAATCTATACATCAATTTCTTTTCAAATTGTTGTTATTTAATTGTTTAGTCTGAGCTCAGTATTATGTCATTCATTCTAGGCTAACGGGACAGAGAACTTGTGAAAAATTGTTTGGTAGGTCAGCTGAAAGTTTCATTGCATAAAATTGCAATGATCGCACCATGTTCCTAGTAAACGTGAATTCTTCATCACAGATGAATAATTAATAATAAATAACTCATGTCAGTGATAACAGTCTGTCGAAATTATCGGGCCGAGCTTCTTCTACGAACGCAACCAGCTTAATAACAAATGCCATGATATCAATAATGCAGTAGCCGGGGGCGTGTTTCAGCTACAATATTATATTTGTTCTTACGATGTCACAAATGGCAATTTAAATGATGCAAGAATCCATTGGAAGCTTTTAATATAGCACCCTTTGTAACGGGTATTTACCGATCAGAAGATCGAATGAGATCAGCTGCAACGATCAAATATTCAAACAGTCATTATCGAGGGGAGTTGAATAAATCTCCGTTTTGTATCGATCGAATAGCGCTGTCGATTCGATTCCTTTTATTCCGATCAAACGATCCTCTTTCGTTATTTTGTCTTTGCATCAAATCAGTTGAAATATAATTTTAAACAATTTCAGTCAATTGCTATCTATTGAAGCACCAATTCGAAAAAACGAGAATTAAGTAGAAAATTATTTCTCCTCTTAATAATTTTAACGAGCGACGACGAGTATGTCATCTAAAACAAATTCAAGTCACTTAGTTCAGTCTTAAAAAAGTTATTACGTTTTACAAGGTGTATGCTCAATTTTCTGTGCAACTGTATGTCCGGCATTGTGACCTCTAATATCTTTTTAGTAATGAAAGGAAGCTCGCCGGACAATCAGGGTGCCGCAATAAAGGTACAAGCCCCTGGACACTATTATCTCCCGGCGTACCTTCCTCCCATTTTTCCCGATGTCTACCGTTTAATTAATTCCTTCCCGTGCTTTCGCTCTCGGCCGGAAGTCACCCAGTCTTTTCCGGCGAATGCCTCTTTTTGCAGTGGCATTCTCACGGGGACAAACGCCCTACAGATCACGGTTCACCGATTCTGCTCGGTTTGCTTTTTCCTAGATCTATTTTCTCCTTTTCAATTGACCCACTGATTTCTCTCCGTTCCCTTAGATTTAGAAGTGTTTTGTTTAGCTTCCTTCTGCTGTACACTCTTTCGAGCACGTTGGACGCTCTCAAGACAAATACAGTAAATTCTCTCTAATTGACGCACAAATTGCACTCGAAAACGGACAAGTTGGAAAGAGGAGATACGATTATTCGAATCTTGCGGCTCGTTTTTATAGTTCTTGACAATTGGTAACTACAAAAACGAGCCGCTCGAACAATCGTATCTCCTCTTTCCAAATTCTTCATTTGTGTTTACAAGCTGGAAGAAAATTGGAAATTATACTGTATCGTGTGTATTTGTTTTGCTTTTTCTGCGTTCGAATGCTCGGGGGCGTTAAGTTTGGTTATTACGTTTGTTTGTTTATTCACGAATTGCATGACTGCAGCTGAAACATAGGTATAGATAATCGTCAATATACACAGTATAATTGACGTACATATGGTAACGAATATTGTAATAAATGGTATAATGAAAATTTTCACTCGCTTCGTGATTAATCATTCCATATATGTTCCGTATTATAATATATATAATAGCATAAATATATATAATAGCATATGGTAGCATACTATGACAGCATAGTCTTTTTATGCTTTGTTAAACATACATGTTTACTACATCGTGTGAGTTCTGTGAATAACAAAATATATTGAAAATACGTTTACAATCCTATCATAATTGAGAAGNTTTCTGGATGCAAAACAGCGTCGTTCAATAACAATAGTAAATGAACAACTTCACTGATTCACGAGTAAGTTGCCGTAAAGATGGGTCAGCTGCTCAAACAATTATTTCAGTAAAATAAACTGTCGTTGACACATTTTTTAACGTTGGAAAGTTACGGGTTACAATTTTCTGTTTGGCACAAATTCATATAATTTTGTCTCAGTCTCAATTTATTAGAAAATTCCTAGCAATTTAAATCACGACTAAGTTGCTGTAAAGATGGGTCAGCTGCTTAAACAATTATTTCAGTAAAATAAACTGTCGTTGACACATTTTTTAACGGTTTAAATTGATAGGAATTTTCTAATAAACTGAGTCTGAAACAAAATTATATGAATTTGTGCCAAACAGAAAATTGTATCCCGTAACTTTCCAACGTTAAAAAATGTGTCAACGACAGTTTATTTTACTGAAATAATTGTTTGAGCAGCTGACCCATCTTTACGGCAACTTACTCGTGAATCAGTGAAGTTGTTCATTTACTATTGTTATTGAACGACGCTGTTTTGCATCCAGAAACCTAATAGACTGCTGTCTGACTGGCTCCGAGTTTAGAGAATCGGAAGGAAGTTTCTAATAATAGTTCCACGAAATATCCTCGAGAATTCCACAGCCCAGGTCGCGAAGAATTATTGGGCATTACGAAGTATTAATCCTCTACGTGCTCGTAACATATGTTCCCTTGGATTTTCGGCACCCGCCGGAGTTGTAAACAGACCCGATGCCGGGAATTTCACTTTAATTACGAGCGTCTCTTCCTGTATCGGTGTCTAGGATTTAAAAATACTGCGAGCAGACTCTGTCTACGACTTGTCGAGAAGTTCTCTGGCGAGCTTCATTCAGAGTGCAGTTCCAGATTATTTTCGGAGCGAATTTGCAGCTTAAACTGCACAAGTTCGTGATATCGTGGCCCAAAATCATCCAATCGCTGCTGCTTTTCGATTATCTTAAATGTCCTGCACTTTAAAAATCGTTGTAATTAGGTCACTATTGCAAACCCGCAGTAAAAAGTTTTATTTTACGATGAAGCGTAATACCGGTACAACTGCTTGTTTAATTAAGTCTGATATTACTAAGCAATCTGATTGTACAAGTAAATAATTACATTTAGGACTCGTTAAACAAATATACCGTGTAAAAATGGTTATCAATAGACTGCAGATTTTTGTGCAAAATTGATTTTATGCAGAATTATCTTATGCAAAAATATTCGTAAAACCATTTCAATGGCAACAATTAATGCACAAATAACAATGCCGCGAATTTATTCCGTATTTGTATAATTACTAATCACTGTGTGGATCGTTCGGGTAATGTTTAAGCTCCGAATTGCTAGTGTGAAAAGATGAAGAGAGAACGGTCGCACCCGGTATACAAGAATCGGAGATGGCTATTGGAACGCGAAGGTATTCCATCAAGCATAGTTAATCCGATGCAATCGTTTATACGATTATTCGTTAGGCATTCAGTCCGCGGCGGCTACTTAACCATTCCTTGGCGGACCACGTGTCGCGCGATCAACCAAAAAGAAGGCCGTTTCTCTCCTTTCCTTGAAACGTGGCCGGGTTTTCGACAAGTAGACGGAATTGCTTTACACGGCTGCCAGAAATCGTGTCCACTAGCGGACCGTTTCTAGCCAGCCTTGTATCGTTCCTTTCTTTCCTTCTGTTCTAGCGAGCTCTCCCCCTTTCCGTTCGGCCGGAGCCACTCTCTTGAGGGAAGCTATAACAATAATGCGTCCAGCCATGATTTTCGCGGGACCCGCGCAACAGGAAACGTCCCTTCGGGGCTGGACGATTTCCGCTCGATGGCAAAAAAAAATTCGCGAGGCGAGAACGACCGATTGACGTGTTTGGGAACAATGTTCAGATTGACTTTAACTGATAGGGTACCGTGTCCAAGAACTGCGAACAAGCTGCGGAGATGTTGAAACAATTTTTGAGTTCCACATCCCCGTTATGTAAGACTCGCGAAAATGTAAAATATTTTTTGCAGCTTATAGAAAAATTGCAGGGCTTACAATAATAAATAAGAACCGACGAAAACATTCTAGAGCTTTGGAACAATTTCAAAGATCCGCGAAACGAATGTACGGTTTTTAGAACAGTTTTAGAGCTTGCGGAATCATTGCAAGGCTTGTGAAAAAATTAAATTACGAAATGACTGTGGACCTAGCAAAAAATAATTAGAATCTATAAAAGTGT